CGTCTGCTGGACCTGTTGCCACCATGGCTGGACGAGTGGAGGATGGTCGTAAACGTTGGTAAGACGACCGCTCTGCTCACTCGCCGTCTCAGGAAATTTCCACCTCCGCTGATCCGCAATGGCCAGAAGATCGCGTACCAAAAGGCTGTGACTTACCTTGGGTGCCGGATCGACAGGACGCTGCGCATGACCGCTCACGTCGACTTCGTCATCCGCAGAGCCCGATGTGCGCGGGCGACGCTCTTGCCAGTCCTGGCATCCAAGCTGCCAATCAAAACCAAGCTCCGGATATACAAGATGTATATCCGGACCATCATCATCTACGCTGCACCGGCCTGGTACGCGCTTCTGAGTGACCCTCTGAGGCGGCGAATGCAGGCCCAGCAGAATCTGACATTAAGGACGATCGTCGGAGCAGGTCGTTACGTCAGGAATGACGTTATAGCGGCCGATCTGAAAGTCGAGACCATCACCGACTTCGTGGTCCGGCTGGCGCGCGGCATGTTCGACCGCGCCGACAATGGGCCTCACGAACACCTCAACGGCTTCGCGCCGTTGCACACCCGGCTCCCGGACGGGCGACCTCTTCCAAGAGAACTCCTCTCTATAGCGATTAGAGAGTCGAGTAACAATCCTCAATGCCGCTGATAGGCCAACTTCAACTTTTACCGGATAACCTGCTTTTTTCCCGTAGTTAACCGACTACGGGAAGAAACTTTTTCTTACTACGGAGCATCCGTACTGGATTACCAGCCTGATTAAAGGCTCCTAGGACTGGCCCATAGTGGTGGGCCATGAGGAAATGCCGGGCAATGGGGACATACCCCGAGGCCCGAGACCTGCAGGACTCCATAGTCCATGCAGACGACATCAGCGTAGCGACCGGTAGTTACCTACTTAACTGATATAACAGGACAAAATATTAATAAAAAGTTTGTTTCGGACTTGAAAAGTTTAATTTTAATAAATACCTTTAAATTATATCATCATTTTTATTTTACAGCTCTTAATGCTTTTCAAAATTCATATGTTTCATCTCCCCTCGACCCCTGTTTCATCTTACCTCGGTATGACGGGAGTTGAAACAATTTGACTTGTTACGGTTAAGTCGGTTCTTCACCACAATATTTAACACTTACAATTTCTTTATGTTAGTCATTTGCAAGTGTAAAGAATAATATCATACGATTTCTATATATAGTATTTGGTATATGAAACAAAATGTGAAGATTGTTTCAACTCCACTCGGTCCCCTACTGTAAACACCAACAATATTGTAACCTATAGATGGTAAATAAACGTATTCAGTATTTGTTTTTTACCACTTTATGCTTAAGAACCCATAGCAGATCAAGGGCCCCTCCATAGAATTTGCTACAGGCCCCGCGCTTGCTTTATCCGGCACTGACCACCGCCACCACACACAACCAAATTTATAATAATAATGCTCTCCAGGCCGAAGGTGTCACGGCGGCCAGTCTCAATGGAGACTAGATATCCATCTGCGCAGGACAGGATTATAGTTATAGTGACCGAGTGTATGCAAGCACAGGTGCACTCTCTATTCCCTCACCCTCATAGTCCGATGGGACGGTAATCAGATACGATCAGAGAGATCAAGCTTTTCTTTTGCGCCCAGAAGCAAAAGTAAAAGGCTACCCTCCTGGAAGCGGGGGAGGGAGGTGGTGAATACTTTAAGCACACCACGCAGCCCGCTGCGTTGTTATGTGAGACTCACTGAGAGAACCTTAGTGCCTACCCACTAAACACCACCTGTGAGACTGGCTTTAACCTGGTAAAATCTTATAGCCGTATCAGAAGCGACCCCCCTTGGGGAAAGGGGGGCGCAGATAGATATCAAGCGCAGGACCAACGGCTTTATATGCTTTCCGATGTACGGGGGTGAAACACCGGCAAATTCCTGACTTCCGGCTGCTACTAAAAATTTCAAGACAGAAAAATACAATAACTGATTTTGGTCCGATCTGGGATTCAAACCCAGGACCTTATGATCAGCAAACGCATTTACGACCATTAGATCAACGAGGCAGTGAACCAAAGACTCAAGGCTGCAACTGATAATTACTTAACCAATGACCATCGACGCACTCAGGTTCTTGTAGAATGTTTTTTTTTTAAATTAGGAGCACACATTTCAGGAATGCCTCGTTTCCAGTAGAAAGAATCTCCAGTTCTCAACGCTCACCACACGAAACTGGCTTATTACGTTTATCCACCTTAGGGTGGATAATCGGAATTCCCTTTTTGATTGTTGTTCCGCCTTTCCACCCCAAGTACAGTTCAACAGAAAATACTTATATTCATACTTTATAATAGGTCCTTCCATATGAAATTGGCGTTTTGTACGGGAGGAATATAAAGTCATTTTTTTTGTAAAATATATTTAATTAATCAAAGTATGTACCGTTGTTATCTGTGAACTTTTTCCATCTCATAGGTAGTTCATTGATCCCTTTACTAAAAAAGCCATGAGGGCGAAAATCAATAAACTCTTTGAAGGCGGTTAGGACTGCCGCATCGGAGTTGAATTTTTTTCCTAATAAGAAGTTGTCCAAATTCTGGAAAAAGTGGTAATCTGTTGGAGCAAGGTCCGTGGAGTACGGTGGATGTCGCACATTCCAATTGTAGCTCATCTTACTTAGTGGTTGTTTGTTGTGCCGTGTGTGGTCTTGCGTTGTCGTGAAGCAGCAGTGGCCTAGAGCGATTGACCAATCTCGGTTGTTTAGCAGCTAGTTCTTCCTTAATGGTTTGCAGTTGCTGACAATAGTCAGCAAACCATTAATCTATATTTCGATATCTGCCGTAATCGTTTGGCCACATTTTAGAAAGCTGTAGTGAACGACACCGGCGCTTGTCCACTAAGCACTCACAAGTAACTTTTCTGAGTCAATTTTCGTTAAGTCAGAATTTGGCTGGGTATCGAAGGTTCAGCCATTGCGACGAGCGCTTCCGATTATTGTACAGCATCTGTTAAGTACTGTACTATTTCCAATATTGTGGTTATATAATTAGCAATATGTTTATTAAATTTAAATACCTACATCAATAAAATAAAACTAATTGCAGTAAACATCGATAAGTCTATGGCAGTAAAACATTTCTTTCATCATATCTCCAAATGACGTAAATTTTACGTAAATTATGTCACATGGAATGATATGTCACTGAACAATTAAAATTATTTCAGTTTTGACCTTTAAACAAGAATTATGTATGCATTTTTGTAAGTACGCTAATGTCTACTAAGTAACCTTGGGACAGTTTCTACCATGTTTTTATAAACGATTGTACACAGCCGAGGAAGAAAATCAGAACAAAAATAATATACGAATTCCGATTATCCACCCAATCTAGGGTGGATAAACGAACACGCGATTCCGAGCGTCCACCCTAGGGAGGATTTCTTAGGGTGGATAAACGGAATAAACCAAGAAACGCAGCAACATTACGAGGGGTGATCCAAAAGTAATGATAATCGGTTACTTCAGGTCCGCATAAAAATCCAAAAAAAATATTTTTTGCTTGCTTATATACTCACTACGTCAGCCTAAAAAATCATATAAATAGATCACGATTTCCGGGAGATACATTCATTTGAATACGAACTGTCAAAGAGATAACATCAAGATGGAGAAAAACGAAATTAGAGCTGTCATCAAGTACCTCTGTTTGAAAAAAATGTCTTCAAAAGACATACACAGTGACTTAGTGGAAACATTGGGGGACTCTGCTCCTCCATATTCTACAGTTGCACGCTGGGCTAAGGAGTTTAAACTGGGCAGAACATCCACTGAAGATGAACATCGCGAAGGACGCCCGTCCACGTCCCTCACTGAAGACAACGTGAAAAAAGTCGAAGATGTTGTGTTGGCAGATCGAAGAGTGACCATCAGGCATGTAGCTGAGGTCACAGGGATCTCATATGGCAGCGTTCAAAGAATCCTTGCGAACGAGTTGCATATGAAAAAGGTCTCTGCGCGTTGGGTACCCTTCTGGGTACCCAACGCGAAGTTGTTATTATGTTGTATTTATGTTATTACAGAATGTTAACCGACGAGCAAAAGAAAAATCGAGTTGACATTTCGAGGGTCATTCTCGAAAGGTTCCAAGCAGATCAAGAAAATTTTTTGTTCCGTTTTGTGACTATGGACGAGACCTGGATCCACCATTTTGATCCTGAAACGAAACAACAATCGATGACTTGGAAGCGAGCCTCCTCACCGATGCCAAAGAAATTCAAAGTTTCAAGTCGGCGGGAAGGTTATGGCATCTGTTTTTTGGGACGCTCAAGGCATAATTATGGTGGAGTATTTGGAAAAGGGAGCCACTATTACGGGCTCTTACTAAGCAGACCGAATAAGAAGATTACGAGAGGCCATTAACGAAAAAAGACGTAGCAAACTACGAGTTGGAGTGCTGTTTCACCAAGACAACGCACCGGCTCACAAAGCCGCAGTTGCGATGGCTGCCATTCAAGAAACGGGATTCGAACTGCTGGAACACCCTCCCTATTCACCAGATCTAGCTCTTAGTGACTTCTATCTTTTTCTTCGGCTCAAGGAACGCCTCCGAGGCAAGAAATTCGAAGACGATAGCGAAGTAATGGCCGTTGTTGACGCGTTTTGGGAGGGTTAAGCAAAGAATTTTTTTCAAAGGGAATCCTGGGTTTAGAAAAAAGATGGACTAAATGTATTGATTTGTTAGGAGACTATGTAGAAAAATAAATAATTATTTTAAATTTAATTACCGTGTTTTATTTTCATTATCATTACTTTTGGATCGCCCCTCGTAAGCAGCTATTTTACGCTGGTATTCTGTGAGAGCGTGGTCCTTCTCCGGTCGAGCCAACTCACTCGTGCTACAACCATAATATAGCTGCGGCGTGGCTCTGCCACGTATAGTTAGCCGCACTAGTTAGTTATTCTAAATAAAAGGAAGAAGGCGAAAAAAAAAACATGACAAAATATTTTTAATTTTATTTACACGTCTGTGTGTTCAGATTGAGTAAGCTTCTTTCGGGCATCCTCGTCGTTCTGCGGTGAGTGACCGCGTTTCACTGCGTGCCGGTCTTTATTGCTGTTCTTGTTTTGGTTTCGTATCGCCTTTGATATTTTTTCATCTCCAACGCTGCAATAAAAAAATATATATATTTATTATAATAATACAGGCAGCCGTAGTGTGGTGTACAGGCCATAAATTTCAGATAACAACTTAATATCATAAAAAAACCGGTTGCCACCCCCCTGCCAAGCGTGGTATCTGTGGCCCCCTGTAAACTAATCTGTGGAGGAGGCCCATAGAATACTATAATACACAATAGAATGGCTGTTAACCTTATTTTGTACGAGGATCGGCGTCGCCGGAAACACACATACAAGCAATTTTACGTCGTATTATCAGTTATCGCTACTACAAACACATTTTAGACTTTTGATTAATGTTTTGACACATAAATGTTCCTTTACTTTTGTTTCTAATATTCACAAAATATAAATAGTTTCGACTTACTGCTTGTATAATATATCTCCTTTAGTTAAATTACATTTCCCGCTGATCTTTCGACACGTAATTATTGCACAATTTGCAATTTTTTGAATAATTTGCATGCAGCGACGCTTGACACGAAAATTGGAAACGATTGATTGTGATAACATTCATACGTGTGAATTGACATATTAGTGACATTTTAGTGGCTACACAGGCTCCGCCCGCTCCCCCGTTCTATTACGTATGTATTATAGTATTCTAAGGGGAGGCCTATGGTTAGCAGTAGACTTTCATAGTCTGTAATTGTAATACCAGGGCACAACCCTGGTTGATAGCCCAACAAAGTACTCTCGTTTGGTAATAAAGTTAATATAGCGGTTAATAGAGTTTATGTAGGTTGATTATTCAATTACTAATGTTTTGTATTGAAACTTACATACAAATTATACAGTAATGGATAGAAAGATATAATTCTTTCCGTTCCATTCTATTCATAATATTCTATTCCATCCTATCCAGTGTTACTTACTTAACAGCAGCTCTAGACCCGGGTCCCCAATAAGGCGCGGGATTGAACTGGAAGCGGAGGCGGCCATCGCGTCGACTCGTCGGATTCGCATCGCCCCTCTCGCTCAGATCTATTGCTGTCTTTATCTCTTGGCTTAAAATGTACTTCGAAACCGGATCAGCTTCTAATCTAAGCAACAACGAATATCTACTGTTATTCTTTCTCTTTTAATATAAATTAGTAGCCACCCGCCTTGGTTACGCTTGGATGGGATCTATTAATGTGGCGTTAATTAATTTAAGATAACGATACGTTGTAGAGCCATGCTGCAACTATATTAGTAGTATAGTTGTAGCAATAACGGATCGGCTCGACCGGGGAAGGACTACGCTCTCATAGAGTACCAGCGTAAAATAGCAGCTTAATGCGGCTGTGTTTCGTATGGTGAGTGCAGAGAACCGGAGACCCTTTTTACTGGTAACGAGGCATTTCAACTTAGTCTTAACGGGTGCGTTGTCATCTGCATTTTGATTCGTAATCGAGGATAGATGTAGATGTCAATGGGGCACAGCAACCACTTACCATCAGGTGGACTGTGTACTCGTTCGTCACCCTATTCTATAAAAAATATAGACTATCACTTTTTCGATCTCTCTCTCTCTCTCTCTCTCAAAAAATCTCTAAGTTTTTCGAAAAAAAAATCTAGCCTACACTTCTGACATTTCTGGCACTCAACACTTCAACACTTCTGGCATTGCCCGCTCACTGTTCGTAAAGTTGCATTACAATCAGTTCAGTTTTTGATTACCCGGCTTACGTTTAATGGACTGTTTCTGCTTTTCAAACTGACATCGGCGCTAAATCGGATTTCGATTGTGTTTTGTATTGCGTTCTTTTTACTTTTGGTGCATAATAATGCCTAAACGTGGACAAACATTGAAAAGTGGAGCCCGTGAGTTAATCATCAAGCTGCAAGATTACTTTGAGCGGGAGCGGCAAGATGGGGGACCCCTGTTACCTGTCGAACAAGTACAAGAACGCGTCTCTCAGGTGCTTGGAGTTAGCAAACGAACTATAACAAATATTAATAAAGAAAAGTTCGGCTCTACTGGCACGGAAGATAATATTTTAAGTACTCCGAAGAAGAAACGTAGAACTAAACCCGTGACAGATATTGACACCTTTGACGCCGATGCAATCAGAAATCATATATACGGTTACTATTCCAGAAATGAACACACACAGGAAGAAGCTTTTGGCATCGTTAAGAGAAGCTTGACTGTTTAGCGGGGGTAAAACTGCTTTAACCAAAATCTTAAAAGATATTGGTTTTTCGTATAAAAAACAGACAAAAGAAAATTTTTATTAGAACGATACGACATAATTTTAAAACGGATAAGTTTTTTGAGAGAAGCAAAAAATATTGATAACTGGGATAATGTCGTGTTCATTGACGAGACATGGCTAAACGCCAATCACACGGTTTCCCGTTCTTGGACTGATGATACACAAGCGTCGACGTCGAAAGTACCAATGGGTAAGGGGGCCCGTCTGATAATATGCCACGCAGGTTCTGCAAAATACGGCTTTGTGGAGAACGCGTTACTGGCATTTCAATCAAAAACCACAAATGACTACCACGAGGAAATGAATGCCACTACATTTAAAGAGTGGTTCCAGAACGTGCTTTTGCATTCATGGATAATGCCTCCTATCACTCGGTTCAAATACAGAAACCACCTATCCAAGCTAATAAAAAAGAAGAAATGGTGGCTTGGTTACAAGCAAAAGACATTGACGCAAATATGCAGATGCTAAAACTAGAGCTAATTAAATTAGTTAAAGAAAATAAAGCGGCAAATGTGCGATACGAAATCAATGAAGTACGGTCATCGCGTTCTAAGAATTCCACCGTATCATTGCCAATATAACGCGATTGAGCTAATCTGGGCTCAAATAAAAGGTTACGCCGCCCGCCACAATACTTCCCCGCCATTCAGCACGAAAAAGATGATGACCCTATTAAAAGAAGCCTGCGGGGAAGTCACAAGAAATGACTGGGCAAAGGTTGTTGAGAAGACTAAAAACCTGATTGTGGCACATTTTGACCGAGATATCAGGATTGATTCTGTTATTGATAATAATATAATTATACATGTCGGCGAAGATGATGATGATGAAGACACCACCTCCTCAAGCGAATCGGAGTCTGATTAATATTCTGTACGCACATTCAATTCAATGTACTTTATTGCATAGAAATACAGATTGTAACTTTGTAACAAAGACTAAATAAAACAATTTTATTATATTATAATTACCTTTTTTTGGTTTCCACTTAAATTACTAAAATATAAATTTTAAATGATTCCGCCAATTTAAAACGAAAATAATGTTAAAAATAACGCGGCGGTTCATTTTGGAGGAACGGTAACGAACTCAGTGTTATGTTGTGCCCATCACTAGTCGTGACTAACTGATAGGTGTCAGGAACGCATTCTCTGAACGGCCGAACTATACCTCTACTTATAACCACATTAACCACTCTATCTAAGTTTAAAATGTTTGTGTTGAAAGTTGTCAAACGAAAATTGTCAAACAGTAGTCGAATGGCGGATCAAATCCACGACTTATCATTTCGTACTTGGTCGAGGGTGTTGTAGTAATTACTTTTAAGTTAATATTATATTTAATAGTATATTTACAACTTTACTATACATTTTTTTTGTTACACCTTGATCGAAAGTTCATATTTCGACCCTATTTTTAGGGACGAAAGTGCCACATTGTCTCCCGATTTAATGAAATTGATTTAGTACGCATGCGTCAAATTTCTAGATCTATTAGTTTTGAAGCGTCAAAAGTATATGTCTTGATACTTTGAGAATAAATGACATTACTTGAATTTAAATTGAGCTTTCGATCCTGGTCTAATAAAAAATAGTATACGCAATACGGGAGAAAAGTATGACATCGCAACCCGCGTTCTTATCACACCCGCCCGCGCTCGGGTGACAATACCACGCGGGTTGCGATGTCATACTTTCCTCCCTAGTGGCGTTATATACTATTTATTACTACGGTCTACGGTAGCACAAGAGAAAGTGCTCCCAACAATTTCACTGTGAATATACATATAACTAACTACTTCAGTGTACGTTATCAATTATCATCAACTAAACAGTACATTCTTAATGTTCTTAGAGGTCTAACGACTGTACAAAGGATTTAAATTTATACTTAAGTATAATTCACGCACACTAAAGAGAGAAATCTCAATAATTACTATCGTATTATAAAATAACCGTAAAGAGCCTTGGTAGCTCCGATGGTTAACGCTCGCTGTAAATATAACCCGGGTTCGATCCCCGCTGGCACTAATGAAATTGTTAATTGCAATTTAGGTGCTGATTTACCACGTGCTCGGCGGTGAAGGAAAACATCGTGAGGAAACCTGCATGTCTGAGGAATAAGAAAAAAAAATATTCTCCTTGCTCTAAAAACCCTCTCAGCAATGAGTGGAGGCCTGTGCGTGCCCAGCACTGGGACATACGAGTATATAGGTTGTAACTTTTTATAAAATAACATACACACACGCCTGTCAACCAGAGGGGCGGAGCCTACGGACTTCCGTTTGGCACGATCCGACCACTTATCTTACCTCCTGTAGACGCATATTCCTACGCATACATGCTCGTCGTTTAAGAGTAATAATTTATATCAAGTAAAAGAAAATATCGTGCAATGGCGGTGTAAGAACATCCACTAGCCTATATCGCATGAGTGAAACAGATTGCCAGCAGCATCCTTAACAAGCCAACATTATAAAAACACTGCGGTTGCCAACCCGTCTGCCAAACGTGACGACTATGTTAAAATCCTCCAACGAGGCAATCTTTTTTTTTTCACTAGGTCAAATGTTAATTCGGGTTTGGGCGCTGGCTTTTTTATTGGCGATTTTTGTAGATATGGCTAATTATACTCATTAAGGGACTTTTATACGCTGTAATGGATGAATAGAAGTCAAAAAGTTTGACAGATTTATATTAAACAGACCGGCGATGGAGAGCATCATCAGTCAAGTCAAGTCAATATCAAGTGTTAAGAAAAGTAAAGAAAAATGCCTAAAACAATTTAGAGGACTATATATACGGTTTTATCGCGTTTAATTAACTTACTTTTAATTCCCGACGTTTCGGGTGTTTAACAGGGGGGGGGGGGAGACTAAGATGTTTGACGTCCCAATGTCATAGTTAACTCGGCTACCTTCAGTTTTCGAATATTAATTTTTGGTCCGGTCTACGCTGAACGAGCTTACAGTATCTTGAAGTCTTGCAGTATGCTTGAGTTTGGATTTAGTTTTGTTAATTATAGGATCCCAAGCAGATAGCTGCATCCATTCATCTTCTCTATTGAGATTTGGGTGTTTTTTTTTTAATTTCAATAGCCTCGCGTATCATCCTTGGTTGCAATCGGTGTTCTTTTGCAAGGATTTGTGGTTTATCAAATCTTACGTAATGGTGGGGACGATCTTGAACATATTCACAGACTGCAAACTTTCCGGAACGTCGGTGCTTCACGTCGGCTATATGAAACCGAGACGTCGGGGATTAAAAATAAGTTAATTAAACGCGATAATATCCGTACATATAGTTTTATTCAATGTGTAGTGTTCGCGTAAATTTAAGAAATCATTACAATTTAGAGGGACTTACTTGGCCGCTTTGACTGGATGCGTTTTCTCCCAAGTGCGTATGATATCCCAAATGACCTGAGCAGGCGCAGCGGTCTTTATTGACAGCTTTGATGCGTGGGAGTATGACACTTTGTAACCAGCGTTAAGAATCGCTGACCTAATAAAATATAAACCATATTAGTTTGATGGTTAGGTTAGGTTATAACAAGTTATGATGATATGTCCTCCAGACCCAATTTCGGTCACGGCGGCTAAACTCAACGGAGACCAGCCACTGTATAGGACAGAATTATAGTGCCCGAGTGTATGCACAAGTACATGTGCACTCTCTCTTTCCTCACTCTCATAGTAGAATGAGACGACAAACCGACACGACCGGAGGGAGATCAGAAGCAAGGACTTATGGCTTTACGTACTTTTCGAGGCACGGGGGTGAAACACCGCCATTTTCCTGACTCTGGGCTTTATTGACAGAAAAACTTAACAACTGATTTTGGTTCGACTCGAGATTCCAACCCCTCATTATCAGCAACCGCATTTACGACAACAAGACCAACGAGGTAGTCACACACCAACATTAATAGGTATTTCACATTGGGTCTTACCCGTGGCCATGGCCTTAAATAAGTCAAATTAAAAGCGATAAAACCTGTTATGTAACATATATTTTTTTACGGAGTAGAATGCAGAAATGCCATGCTGCAGCTATATTTTGGTTGCAGCACGAATGGGTTGGCTAGACCGGGGAAGGACCACGCTCTCACAGAATACCAGTGTAAAATAGCAGCTTAATGTTGCTGTGTTTCATATGGTGAGTGTAGAGAACTGGATATCCTTTTTACTCGAAACGCGGCATTCCATCGCAGTCCTCAGGGCTGGCAACGCATCTGCATTTTGATTTTTAATTGAAGATAAATGTGTATGTCTATGAGCCACAGTATCCACTTAACATCAGGTGGACTATGTGCTCGTTTGTCACCCTTATACTATAAAAAGATATTAGTTTTATATAACAACAAATTATGCTATGTAGCGGAAGAGTCTCTCACTGACGTTATTAAGTTACTGGTTTTTTTTTATTTACAATAGGAGTGACAAATGAACACACATTCCATCTGAAACTGATTTCTATAACTCGTCCCTCACTGTAACTCCTCCCTCATCATTGACAGAATCCACTAACCATGGTAAGTGAATGTTGCGGCCCATAGACATCTACATTTATCCTGAATTAAGAATCAAAATGCAGATACGTTGTGAGCCCTGAGGACTAAGATGGCATGTCTCGTTTCCAGTAAAAAGGCCACTCCCGATATGAAACACAGCAGCATTAAGCTGCTACTTCACACTGGTACTCCGACGAGCGTAGTCAATCTCTGAACAAGCAGAACCATTCGCGTTGCAATTATATGCTGTAATTTATCTCTGCCACATTTAATCTTGCCTACCTTAAGAATAATTATAGATGGATGGAAATAAGTTTTTATACAATGTTCTTTATTTGATTCCCCAACTATTTTGTAGATATCCAGCTTGGATGCTTGTCCTTTAAGCCATGCCTTCATTCCATTCGGGATCTTCGTTATAGTAATAGATTTTTTCTCTTTACAATATGTTGATGATCACATTGCGAAGTTTTTCGGAGACTTTTTGTTGACTTGTTGGCGACAACTCAATCCAGCTGACAGTGGATGACGACAATCACTCAAGTTCTTAAGGCTTCTAAGCAATCTAAAGAATTTGAAGTTTATATCAACATCAAAGCACCTGTTCCGTCGTTTTCTCTAATAGTTCACATGCGCAGGCACTTAATACACAAATTCTCATCACTTTTTCGTATCAAAATCCACTTTAAACTATTATTTAAACGATAAAACAGGAGCAATCCGTCGACGGTCAAGTTCCTGCCACGAAAAGCTTATCTTTCTCCCGTACGTTGGATAGGCTTGAGTAGGATACCATTTTTTGCTAGTTGGTAACTTTAAAATGCATTAAAATAAGAAAAAAACGCCTACGTACATAAAAATTGCCATAATAAAACTATGGAAGAATGAAAAAAATCATTAAGGCGTTTCTTTTGCGCAGTGACGTTTGGTTGCGAGATCGTGGTTCGCGAGTTAGATTACCGAACGGAATAAAGACATCTAAGGTTTTCTAATAGTTGAGTTTTAAGTCTATGAGTTTTGCCCATATTTGGTAATATAAATTATTTATAAAAACTTACCGCATAACCAACATCGGCATGGTTTCCAAATGGACTCTCCCGAACAGTTTATCCAACGTGTAGTATAGCGGCACCTCCTGTAACTCCTCCCTCACCATTGACAGGACACCCTCTATACGCTTTGCTGTGCCGAAGAGCTGAGGGTTGTCTTGGACGTGGCTTACAACCCTCGATACAAACACTTCGTCGTGTATAGGCGCTGACCATATGGGACCACCTAGCTGTAATATATCTATACAGATAAATACAGTTGAAGTGTCTTTTCTTATAGGATAGGGTGATAAACGAGCACACAGTCCACCTGATGGTAAGTCGTTGCTGTGGCCTATAGACGTCTACATCTATCCTCGACTATGAATGAAAATGCAGATGCGTTGTCACCCGTGAGGATTAAGATGGAATGCCTCGTTTCCAGCAAAAAGGGTCTCCGGTTCTCTACACTCACGATAAGAAACCCAGCAGCATTAAGCTACTATTTGACGCTGGTATTCTGTGAGAGCGTGGTCCTTCCCCGGTCGAGCCGATCCATTCGCTCTACAACTATACTACTAATGTTACTGCAGCATGGCTCTACCACGTCTGTGCAATATCAGATTACTGCCTTATAAAGAGCTCAGGGAGTTATTTGCATGAGTTTAAGACATAAATGACAAACATTTTTAAAAGTGTGTCTGTCTCTCCGTTTATTCGAGTAATCTTCGGAATGGCTGAACATAATGAAATGAAACTTCACGAACAGATAGAGAGCAATGCCAGGGTAGATTTTTTATGCGAAAAATTTGGGCATTTTTTTGTATAAAACAAAAATTTATAAAGTAAATTGTCTTTAATTATCTTAAACTAGCTGTTCCCGCGACTTCGTTCGCGTAAAATTTATTAAAATTGAATTCCATGGATTAGAATTTTTTGCGAAAGACCCCAATTCTTTTTCTAAAATAAAAATGAGACTAAGTTACTCCTTATAACATCAGCTATCTGCCAGTGAAGTTCTTGACAAAATTGGTTCAGCCATTTCGGAGATTAGCCGGAACAAATAGAAAAGCAGATACAAAAATTTTAAAAATTGTTTTTTTGTTTTAAAATATTTCATATAGCTGTGCCCCGCGGTTTCACCCGCGTATATCACGTGTCTGCGCCGTGCGACATGACATGACACCTCGCTCATTTAGTTCAATCATTTTAGCTAAAAAATTGGCAAAATTAATGTAGTACTTTTATCTATCGGCATAATATGTACGTTTTACAGCAAAGTTAATTTTATCAACTCTCTCTCTCTCCCTCCTGGATGAACGCCCCAGAAAGTGCACCAAAACGCGGCTTTTTTCAGTTTTAAAGATGAATAAAGTGTGGAGGTATGAAACGATCCTTGATGAATTTTCTATCAACTTTTCATACATGTGAAAGCGATATCATTTATAGTTTTTGCGCGATCTTCCACAAAATATGAACATTTCTTATCTTTAATCGATTTTTTTTTTGCTCAAAGTTTAAGTTCATTAAAATTTCCAACTTTACAGCCAAAATATGATAAAGAATAGAATATGCTCTTTAAAAAGAGGTACAAATTATTTCTTAACTCTTTCATTTCATTATGATAAAACTATTTATTTGAATAAGAATTAATACTGCGAACCGTAGTATTAATTCTTATTCAAATAAATACTACGATAAGACTGTAACCGACTTTAGTTTCGACCGGTGCGGTGATTTTACTAAATTTTAAAACACAAAAGCTACTATTGTGACGTAATTATGATAGTAAGATATATTCCTTACGCGGACTCTTTGCAGGTAATAATGAGTAATCATGTAACACATAATTTTATGTATCATCAAGTTTTCTCAGCGCACGCCAGGTAATGAATTTTATAGGTAAAATTTTGCTACTTTGGGTTATAATTTTCTTAAAGATCTCCAATTTTTTTGAAAATAAATTATAGCCTATGTTACTTTGTGATAATTTAGCTTCCTATTGGTGAAAAAATTATTAAAATCGGTCTAGTAGTTTCGGAGCGTATTCGGTACAAACAAACAAAAAATCTTTCTCCTTCATAATATTAGTACAGACAATGATTTTTTTCTTTTTTAATTTTTATTATTTTTTTAATTAGAAATATTATATTATTTGTAAAAAGATTATATTTACAAAACATAAGTCAATAAATTTATTAGTTTAGAGCTTCCCTGTAAACGACATTTGATGTTGTTTTATTTTGTGGCAGTGTATCCTTGGTATATGAGATAGTTGACTAGCTGCTAGGCCGGTGATGATGGCCGCTACAGTTAAATATTCCTTCAGTTCCTTAATAAGTAGCCTCTTAACAAGTAGTAGTCCCATTGCACATGCTCGGGGGGCTTAAATTTCTCAAAAACATGATTGGCGTTCCGACTTTTAACGTCAATTCGTGTGGTGGCAGTCCAGAATGGTTTAGTGAATTTAAAAATTCCTGTGGGTAATGGACTGCGTCTTCGATGTTAGTCACGATGTCGATTGATTTGTGATTTTTTATTTGGCCGGGGACTTTTCAAATAATCAGATTCTTTATTTCGTTGACAGTATCATTGCTAGGCGGTACTATTGCTCTAGATACGGAAGAACACAACCAATGAAAGTCCCTTTTGTGCAAATTCTCGATGTCAGGGTATACTGCTTGTATAAAAAATTTTAAATTCTATTTGGCCTAGAGACTTGTCCAGATGGACGTCACAATTTCTGCTTAAATTTGGAGTGGGAAAAATTTCTTCCCCAAGTTTTAGCAGCTCTTTTGGGAAATCACTATCGTGATTACATAAATATGAGCGCTCATAAAAAAAAGTAAAGTTACAGCATATATACGTCCCACTGCTGGGCTCAGGCCTCCCCTCATTTCTGAGAGGGTTTAGGGCAAGGAAGTGTCCGCCGCGCTGCCCAAATGCGTGTTGACGAACTTCACATGTCTTCGAAATATTTTTTTTTCTTATTCCTCAGACATGCAGGTTTCCTCACGATGTTTTCCTTCACCGCCGAGCACGTGGTAAATCAGCACTTAAAATTGCGATTAACAATTTCATTGGTGCCGGCGGGGTTCGAACCCGGGTTACTCGCGTTCTGTTATATTTACAGCGAGCGTTAACCACTGAGCTACCACGGCTCATATTTGAGCGCTCATATTTGTCCGTAATTTTAAAATTTTAATCTAAATCCGGGGAGACGATTTCAAGCATGCTTTGATGATATCTACTCGCGTAGCTCTGTTATTTACGGGAAGAGTCTGTCGGAAATCTCCTGCAAATACAAAAGTGATCCCACCCATGAGAGCAGAGGAGTTTCTAAGATCTTTTAAGGTTCTGTCCACGGCCTCTATATGTGCTCTATGGCTCATGGTGCATTGATCCCACATAATCAATGAGGCGTCTTGTAGTAATTTACCAAGAGGCCCATTTTTGCGGATAGAACATGTAGATTGTTGCTCAAGAGTTACGGATAACTGAAGTTTAAAACTATAATGAGCAGCTTTTCCATTCTTTAAGAGAGTTGCAGCAATTCCTGACGAAGTAACTGCTATCGCTATCTTCTCCGATTGTCGTATCTTAGCAAGTATCAAATGGGAAGCGCGAACTTCGAGAGAGGCATCATCACGGATGGTTGTTGAATTAACAAAGATTTAAAAAGTAAAAAAAAATACTTAAATTACACGGTTAATGTAATTGGTGGTTATGGACGGTACAGACACTGATATAGCCTTGAATACGAAGTGATTTATTTTAATATAGCGATTAATACCAAGGTACGAATAATGTGGCCTAGTTTGTACCGGCGTTACTTTTGCATATATTATTATTAACATGAAAAAGAAATTATTGTGACATAACTGTCATAGTTAGATATTTGATATCGCAGATTTTTTTGTAGATATTGATGCCCTCTATAAAATTGATGTACGTCACTTTGCTCTATTGTCAACAGTTTCCGCAGCGTACGCGATATACGGATTTTTCGTCGTTACTGTTGTATTTTTTAACATGAAAAAGTAGCTATTGTGACATAACTGTAATAGTTACAGTTATGTCACAATAGCTCACGCCGTGGGTTAACGAAGTTTTCATATGGATCTCTAATTTCTTGAAAATATACTATAGCCTATGTTCATCAGGGATAATGTAGGATTCCATTGGTGAAAGAATTTTTCAAATCAGTCGAGTAGTTTTGGAGCCTATTCAATACAAACAAACAAATTTTTCCTCTTTATAATATTAGTGTAGATGTAAACAACACCGCATTTATAGAACCTAACCAAGCGAAGACGGTGCGTGTTGCTAGTCTATATACAAAAAATAAAGTGACAAACGTATTTACTGCAGGGTATTTTTTTAATCCGAAAAATTTGGATATTTTTGTAAAAACAAAAATTTATAAAACAAATTGTCTTTAGTTATCTTAAATGTAAACAACACCGCATTAATAGAACCTAACCAAGCGAAGACGGTGCGTGTTGCTAGTCTATATATAAAAATAAAGTGACAAACGTATTTACTGCAGGGTACATTTTTAATCCGAAAAATTTGGGCATTTTTGTAAAAACAAAATTTATAAAGCAAATTGTCCTTAGTTATCTTAAATGTAAACAACACCGCATTAATAGAACCTACCCAAGCGAAGACGGGGCGTGTTGCTAGTTTTTATACAAAAATAAAGTGAAAAATGTATTTACTGCCCACCTGCGACCCTATTCTTCAACTTAGTTAACATCACAATGAAAGTTACTTTGAAGTGCATTGCTTCGTATGCTATGTTGCTTTTCTTTAAGAGCAGAAATATTACTAAACGTACGACGCAATGTACTATCAAAGTGATTATCATTTTTATATCAATAAAGTTAGCATATAAAACTGCTGATGGTAAGTGGTTACTGTTCCCCATGAACTGCAGTCTTCTAATCAAATTAAAGAATGGAATAATGAAAGATATTTTGTACCTCTGAGGACTAAAATGTAATGTTTCACTGCAAAAATAGGTAACACTGTGTCATTTCTAAAGATTGTGATGGAATGTCATATAGCCTGAGTTATCATTTGTCCTGTATGGTCTTTTCGCACTTTAGCCGTTTACCGTCCATCTAGGAACCGAATGTTTTCAGCTTCGAAAACTTTAGGGTCTCTTTATTTTGTTATCTTTAAAAAACGTTACCCCACAATAAGAATTTGTCCAGTACCGTGGAGGTATCTTGCATACATAAATTGCACATGGATAAACATCCAGATAGAAACACTTTTTCCACTTGGGATTCAAGCCTTTAGCCACACAGCGCTGTAGTCAAACAGTAACATAGCAACTGCTATATGGAGCCGTCTATTTTGGTTAAGTCCATATAAATAAATAAAATATAAAAAATATGGAACAAATAAGAAATGAAATGGCGATGAAATCTATACTTACATGATGCCTCTGATTGCAATGGACGCAGAATTCGCCTACAGGAGGAACGTTGGGTAAATATGCTTTCATCTGCTCTGGTTTTTTCTCCGTAGGGTTCGGTTTGAAACCCCCCAGGGGATGTAAAGTTATGTTATCGCAACCCACGCAATGATAAACCATGGACAATTTACTGTAATTTCAAAATTAAATAAATTTATTTATTTATTCTCTACACAATAGATAAGCTTAGTGTTATGTTTTTTTTTGAGTTACTGACTAGATCCAAACTGTGAGAGACCGGTGTTTGATGTAGGTTTAAGAAAATCTGTGCTTACACCAGCTCAACAAAATTATAGTATTGACAACCAAAATACTAAAAAAAATAATTCAAAACACATTCGATCGAATTCAGGACCGCTCCTTTTTTAAGTAGGCTGCACTAGGTCTTGAATATTTTATATGATAAAAGTATTGTTGCTCCTTTTTTTAAATGTTACCTTTACACTAGGATTCTCTCCTGTATCGTATAGTCGCTTTTCATACAAACATCCAGACCCAGAACAATTATTTGTAGTTCATACAAACACTTGCTCCGTGTGGGATTCAAACCCGTGGCCCCCAGCGCTGCAATTCATTGCTACGCTACTGCGCCACGGAGGTTTAGGTTAGGTGTGAGAACTTATGTAAGAAATGTCCTCCAGACCGAATTTCGATCACGGCGGCCAGATTCAACGGAGACTAACCATCAGAACAGTACAGGATTACAGTGCAAGTACAGATGCACTCTTTACTCCCTCGCTATCATAGTCTGATGGTAAGCCGGCACGACCGGAGACAGATCAGGCGGAGGACCTACAGCTTTACGTGCTTTCCGAGGCGCGGGGGTGAGACACGTAGAGCCACGCTGCAGCTATATTATGGTGGTATCACGAACGTGTCGGCTCGACCGGGCAAGGAGCACACTCTCACAGAATGCTAGCGTTAAATAGCAGCTTAATGCTGCTGTGTTTCGTACGGTGAGTGTAGAGATCCGGAGACCCCTTTTTATGAGGCATTCCATCTTAGTCCTCAGGGGTGACAACGCATCTGCGTTTTGATTCTTAATCGAGGATAAATGTAGACGTCTATGGGCCACATCATCTACTCACCATTAGATGGACTGTGTGCTCGTTTGCCACCTTTATTCTATGAAAAAATAAACTGCCAACTTCCTGACCCGGGGAGCTGCTGAGAATTTCTTGACGGAAAAACTCAATGATTTTATTTACAATGTAGGATACATTGCGTAATATTTGTGAAACCTTACCTAGTAGTTTTTTTGCAGTGAAATGCTCCAGAGTAGATTTTAACGAACACGCGTATGTAAAAATCGGCTGATATACTTAGCAGTGGTACTATGTACCGACTGTACCTGTTCGCATGCTGTTCTATACATTGTAAGAGTATTCTTAATGCCTGAAATCAATTAAAAGTGAAATTACATACATAAACACTCACGCCTGTCACCCAGAGGGGTAGGCAGAGACTACGGACTTCCATTTGGCACGATCCTGACACACTTCTTTCGCCTTCTCCACATCCATATATCTACGCATATATGCTCGTCGATTAAGGGTACTCTTGAGTGTGTGAAAGTGAAATTACAGCTTATATAATGTCCCACACCTGGGGACATGCCTCCTGTCACATCTTTGAGAGTTGTGGGGAAAATAGTCCTCCACACTGCTCCAGGGTGTATTGGTGGACTTCACAACTCTTTGAAATACATATATTTATTTTAATTAATAGAATCAGGTGTTACTTTGCGAAAATCCATTATACTAAAGTTGGTAAGAATTACTTCGCCCACATCCACTCAATGAAACAAAATGATGTATCTTACCTAGTTTTTTTTTATAGTAGAGGGAGCAAACGAGCATATGGCACACCTGATAGTACGTGATTACCGCCGCCCATGAACAACTACAAAACCAGGGGAATTGCAGATGCGTTGCCGGCCTTTTAAAAAAGGAGTATTGAGCCTACTCCTTTTTAAAAGCACCTCCCGTTATAGTTCACGCAATTGAAGGAGGGCGGGAGGTGCTCTTCAAACTAGGTAAACACCTTATTTCTTTGAGCGGATGTGGGCGACGTAATTCTTACCAACTTTAATATATTTATTCCTCAAACATGCAGATTTCTTCACGATATTTCCCTTCACTGTAGTCTGTATATAGTCAGCACTTAAAATTTCATTTAATAATTTCATTGCTTAATATTAAAGAAAAATAAATTGTATCAGTGGGATCGAACCCAGGTTGCTCAATAATCAAGAAATTTACGGCCATTTTAGCCCCTGAGCTACTACTACTACTACTAAATAATTAATTTAAGTTATTGCTAAATTAATGATTTATATGATAGTGACTGCCTCTTGCTTGAAAACCCACCAGTGAATATGGGCTTAGTGAGAGAAATTAGTGTGGAAGAAGTAAAAATGGCTGTTAGGAATATGAAGAATGGGAAGGCGGTCGGCCCAGATGGAATACCAGTAGAAGTGTGGAAGTTGCTGAGTGCGGATGGATGGAAGTGGTTGAGTTTATTTTTCGGTAAATTGTTGCAGGAAGAACAAATACCTGAGGAATGGTGCAGTAGTATACTGGTCCCCATTTTTAAAAACAAAGGAGACGTTCAAAACTGCGGCAGTTACCGGGGAATAAAACTCATGTCACACACGATGAAAGTCTGGGAAAGAATAATAGAGAAGAATGAGAGAAGAGTGTGAGATAACACAAAACCAGTTCGGATTCATGCCCGGTCGAGGTACGACAGATGCCATTTTCGCATTACGCCAATTGTGCGAAAAGTACAAGCGCGTGCATAAAAATCTGCACATGGTTTTTGTCGACCTTGAAAAGGCGTACGATCGGGTTCCCCGTGAGGTTTTGTGGTGGGCGTTAAAGATGAAAGGTATGCCTGGGAAGTATGTGAGGTTAGTCCGTGCTATGTACAGAGCATCCCGTACATGTGTACGATCTGCCGCGGGAACTACGGGCAGTATCGGTGTGGCTGTAGGGCTGCACCAAGGGTCGGCATTGAGCCCTTACCTCTTCCTACTGATTATGGACGCTTTGACGTCGGACCTGCAGGATGAGGCACCCTGGTGCATGCTCTTTGCCGATGACATCGTGCTTGTCGGGGAAGAGGGCATCGAGGTACAGAGCAGACTGACGGGGTGGCAACAGAGGCTGGAAAGTGTTGGCTTGAAGATCAGCAGATCCAAAACCGAATATCTGTGCTGTGATTTCGGCGGTCTTTCCAGTCCTGTACCCATGTCGTTGGATGGCGCTATACTGCCTACCTGCTCAGATTTCAAGTACCTCGGTTCCCTCATTCAAGGCGACGGCGAAATAGATAGAGCTGTGCAGCATAGGATTAACGCAGGGTAGATGAAATGGCGACAGGTCACAGCCACAACGTGCGATCCCCGAATGCAAATAAGGCTGAAGGGTAAAATTTACAAATCGACCATCCGACCTATCGTCATGTATGGAAGTGAATGCTGGGCCGTCAAGAAGAAGAATGAAAGTAGATTGCATGCGAATGAAATGAGAATGTTACGATGGATGTGTGGTGTGACAAGGATGGATAAGATAAGGAAATAGTATATAAGAGGAAGCCTGAAAGTAGCGCCAGTGGTAGAAAAGGTGAGAGGAAGCAGATTGGCATGGTTTGGGCATGTGATGCGGAGGGATGAAAGTCATGTCACAAAACGAGTGTTGAATATGAATGTGGAGGGACACACGGGCAGAGGAAGGCCGAATAAAAGATGGATCGATTGTATGAAGAGTGATATGAGAATGAAAGGAGTAAGTATGGAAATGACGGCTGATAGAGAGGAATGGAACAAGAAGATTTACTGCGCCGACCCCAGATAATGGGAAATTGTTTAGAGAATGATGATGATGATAGTGACTGCCTCGTTGGCCTAGTGGTTGTAGTAGTGCGACTGCTGATCATGAGGTCCTGGGTTCGAATCCCGGGTCTGCGCCTGATCTCTCTCCGGTCGTGTAGGTTTACCGTCCCATCGGATTATGAGAGTGAGGGAATAGAGAGTGCACCTGTGCTTGCGCATACACTTGGGCACTATAATCCTGTCCTGCGCCGATAGCTAGCCTCCGTTTAGGCAGGCCGCGATGGCCGAAATTCGGTCTGGAGGACATTATTATATGATAGTAAAATTATTAATAAAGGCAAAAGAATCATATGATATTTTTGTAAACATCTTGTTTATATCAGATGTAAAATCAAACGACAGGCAACAGGTAGCAACGTCGAAGAGGCGAGACATTTGGCATTTCGGATCGCTGACGATTACTACGTCAATTGCAGCGTGATTACACCTGCTAAGCGAAACGTTTGAGACAAACTCACGATACAACTGATGAGGCCCACGTCTAGCAATGGACTTTTATGGGGCGAAAAAAAAATTGTTATTAATATTTCATTATAACAGTTTTGAAAAAAATAAAAACAAATTATATAATAAACGCTTCTTGTATGACACAAAAATCTGTAAGTGTTGATTTATTCATAGTATACATACGTATTTTTGTAAAACATTACCCTGAATTTTCCCTACATTGTGGAGGCAGTTTACATACATAAATTGCACAAGAATAAACATCCAGACCCGAGACAATTATTTATAGGCCATTCAAATACTTGTTTCGTGCTGGAATCAAACCCGCGGCACTCAGTGCTGCAACTCAATGCGTGGGTAACACTGCGCCGCGGACCCACGGGGCCGTCAATTCATCAATTCCATTTCACACACAGAAGAAGGCCATAAGAGTAATCTATTTTAAAATCTAGAGTCGCTCAAACAAGAATTTAAGGAAATTAATATGTTAACTTTCAATACATTTATGAAAATGTACGTAGACAAAAATAAAAGAAGCTTTATAAAAATAAGTGATATTCATTCTGTAAATACTAGGAATAGACATAAGTTAGTAGTAACAGTTACTCCACTCCACCGAGTCAGTCAGTAAATCATTCTTGGGACAATGTACACTCTTTTACAACAAAATCGCAGAAAATATACAAAATTTGACCTGCTCAAAGTTCAAACACTTTATTAAGCAAAGTTTGTATAAAAAGGGTTATTATAATATTAAAGAATTTATGGATTTTTTTTTTAAACATTGGGCGACAAACAAGCACACAGTCCACCTGATGGTAAGTGGATGCTGTGACCCATAGACATCCACATTTATCCTCAATTAAGAATCAAAAAAATGCGTTGTCATCCCTGAGAACTAAGATGGAATGCCTCGATTCCAGTAAAATGCGTCTTCGGTTTACTCACCATATGAAACACAGTAGCATTACGCTGGTATTCTGTGAGAGCGTGGTCCCGCCCCGGTCGCGCCGACTCTTTCATCTACAACTATAATATAGCTGCAGCCTGGCTCTACCATGTAAAGATAATAATAACTCCTGGGAATGTTGGGAGTGTTGTTAACTATGTAACATATATGATTATAAGCTATATTTTTTAAAGTCCCGCTGGGTTTCTTGCTAGTTCTTCCCAGGACAGAAGTTTTTTCGAACCAGTGGTAAGGTAAAACAAAGAGTGACTTTTAATAAGTATTATTCATAGTTTATATTAAATAAAAAAGTTTCTGTTTCTTACCATCTCATGGCAGCACTTTGTCTTTAAGCTAACAGCACCATATTTACAATAGCAAGTTTCTGGCGAGTTACCCGCCAAAACCGCCATGTCTGTTGCAGTGACAAGCAACAGACCGCCATCTTGCACGCTCTGTACGGCGGAATCCAGAAATATTGAAGGACATCCGTAAGGATCCAGATCAATAGCAGCAAAACGTTTAATTGGATGCTTGTGTTTGTACATTAGCATACTGTAAAAGAACTCCAGCATTTTGAATCGAAAGACAGAAAAATTTATAAACTTTTCAACAATGAAAAATATATAAAAACTGCATAAATATAAAAAAATGTGCTTGCATGCGATAAGTCATACCAAAAAATTATAGGCAAAATACATTTATATGTCGAGCGAGCAATAATTTCAATAAGCTAGCCAATGAGTTTGACTTCGATTTGTTTAAACACTAGTGCTGCGTCAGCTAGGCGCATATATTGCGGTCACATTAACTTGACGCATCGCTGGAATGCGAGGCCCCGCCCGCTAGCCCCCGCACTCCCTTAGCTCGCCCGGCAATTGTCAGTATGGTTAGCATAGTCTCTGTTATAACACTGTTGTAAATGACGTCATCAAAGCCATGCTTGCTGGCTTGATACGTCATTTACGTTAATGTGACCGCGTTGTACTTAACAATGCATTTTTTGGTAGCTCTAAGTGTGATATTGATGCGTTGCTACACAACTATGATTTACTTTTGTATTTGTGTTTATTTTTCTGTTAAAAAGAGCTTGTAGTGTTATTTACTGTCCTAAGTATGAGTTGATTGTCTTTTATATCTATAATACAAGTTTAGCCCACATTTGGCACAAATATGCTGTATTGGATACTTTCGAGTGTTAAATCGTATTTATCACTGTTGTAAATTCACCTTTGTCCCCACCAATCTAGGAGTGTGTGGCTGTGTGGCATTTAAAAACTATCCTCCTATTTAGTATTAAAAAAAAAGCCCAAACGCTACTCAATTTTAAGATGCCATTAAGTCTCGTGTTGACTCTATCACTTTAAGACCACACAGGATCAGATATATTATACTTATAAAGCTGTAGTTTAATCATAGTCATAGTATATATTTTTTGGAATGTATTATTTTAATATAGGTTATTTGTTTATGACATATACTTATACGCCAGTATATTCTAAGTCTATGGTTTATGAAGAAAACATATTTTTGTTATTTTAAAAAGTTTTAATTCTTTTTTTGAGAAATGACGTTGACGTTGTTGTGTCAATTTTTGTTATATAAGGCACTGAAAATATAGTTTAAAATATAGACCAGCTTAGATCATACACTGTTGTGGATTGTTTTATTTACCGACAACCCTTCTAGTGTATCAGCAGGACAACAGGTCAACTAGTGAAGCTAGTAAACATACGTGTTACCTAAATGATGGATAAAAAAATTTATCTCCAATGATAAAGTATTGTACTTGTTATATGAACATTTTAAATTATAATACATACAATAATATACATATATTTGCACTTTGGTATTGTCTATATCATTTTAGAATGAGAATTTCATTTAAACAATTTTCAAGTAAGAGATAATTAAATTAAATAGTAATAAGAGGTTTTTGGAACCAACAAACAAAAAATAAATATTTTGTAACTTGATTTACAAGTATTTATCATATATTTTGGCACAAACCACAAAATGGGGTTCACGCCTTTTGGTGAAATATTTTTTACCTAAAAGGTTTATGAAAATAAAATAACACAATAAATGTCATATAATCTAGTATTTTCTAATGTAACAAAAGTCCATTTTTCTGACTGCCCCTAGGAGAGCTAGCAGCTTGAAATTTATTAATTATTTAAAAGACAACTTCATACCTGTCTCATATATGTATATGTGTCCTGTGTGTACAACTACATATCTGTCATCTATTAGTTGATGAATTTTCACAGACAAAGTAAATTATTATATTGTTACTTACCAAGCATCATCGTGGCTTGTCTCTATAATATTCTGAACATTGTTGAAAACAACATTCTCCCTTATAGTTTGAACCGCCTGCTCTGACAGGTCATTGGCTACAATTTTAGTGATATTTGGTATCTCCTTAGCATAACGAATACTTCTCAAACCTGTAGCAGATAGTGCCTCCAATATTGTCACAGGTACCTAAAATATTTTGTAATGATTGAAGTCACTAGCAAATATCAAATTGTACTCTTTACTAACCATATCTCATCAACGATTTGTAATCTTTACAAATTTTACATATTAAAATAAAAAATAAAAAAGGGTTCTGTATTAGGAAAGTTGTGGATGCTGAATCTCTTCTATCTGCAGATGTGAATTATTGGAGGCTCACATTTGCAGAAGCCAATATGGTTTGTATATGTTTATAATATGTATGTTTAGTATGATTTCAAGTTTTTATTAGATGACTTACATAAATAAATGAAACATTTTTTTTTAATAATGTTGCGTGAATAAGTCAACGTCATACACTAGCGCCATCTAGTGTCAGGAACGAGAGCGAGGGGAGCTTTGCAGAAAATGACATCACAAATCTTTCAACCGACAGCGCCATCCGAAGAACTAAGTTTCTAGAAAATCTACACTCGAACACTCGTCGCTTTGCGCGCATTTACTTGAATATTCCGGATGCTTCATTGCTAATTTGTATATATAGGCGCTGCAAGATGCGATCGGGGCAGTATTGGATTTGGCGAGATAAGCGAAGCTTCGGAGCGGAATAAAGTGAATTAGTGTGTTTAATTAATAGTGTTTTAAGTTTTAATTTACATACATACATAAACACTCACGCCTGTCACCCAGAGGGGTAGGCAGAGACTACGGACTTCCATTTGGTACGATCCTGACATACCTCTTTCGCCTCCTTTACATCCATATATCTACGCATACATGCTCGTCGGTTAAGGGTACTTCTAACGTGGCCCATTTTCAAAATATCGCCAATTTGGTCGATAAACTTTTTCCTAGGGCGTCCCTTCCCGACTCGGCCATTCACATCTGCCATATAAATTTGCTTTGTCACTCTTTCCTCATTCATTCTTTCTACGTGACCAAACCACCGAAGCATTCCTTTCTTAATCCTGGTCACAACATCATCTTGCATACCACATTTATCTCTTATCACGCAATTTCTCACCCTGTCATTCAGATTACACCCTAGCATATTCCTTAAAGACCGCATTTCTACAGCATTTATTCTACTTTCGTGCTTCTTCTGCCACACCCAGCTTTCACTACCATACATTAAAGTAGGGACTAACACAGCATTATGAATTACCATACGTGCCTGTTTTGACAAATTCTGGTTCTTCATAATAGAGTGTAGTGCCCCATTCACTCTATTCCCTGCAAGTTTTAATTTGTGTAAAGTAAATTAAAGTGTTAATTTAGGTAATTTTATCGGCAATTTTTATTGTCACGAACCTCAAGCTCGTAACAATTGGTGTCAGAAGTGGGATAAAATCATGCCGATTTTACCTAAGGAGGAAATGGAGGGTGTCCGTACCCGAAGTCAACGCCAGCAGGAGACGGACCAAAGAAGATTTGGTGGTGCAACATCGCAGACTTCGGAAGGACAGCCGCCGGCTGCAGGCCCGTCAGTAGCTCCTACACCTGCAGCACCTGACTTAGGTGCTCTGATGGTGATGCTGCAGGAGCAAGCTCGCCGACAGGAGGAACAGGTCCGTCAGTTGGAAGAGCAGCTGCGAGGCGGACAGGATGAACAGGCCCGCCGACAAGAGGAACAGGCCCGCCGACAAGAGGAACAGGCCCGCCGACAGGAGGAACAGGCCCGTCGGTCGGAAGAGCAGATGTTCCTCATTAAGGACCTTCATGCTACCTTTGGGAAAGAGATAAAGGAGGTGAAGGATAGGGTTGCTCAACATGACAACCGCCTGTCGGAAGCTGAAACCCAAATCAAGGAAGCTAAAACCCAAATCGACCAAGTTAACAATCGGGTTGATTACGTGGTGGCTGACGTGAAGAAAACGCTGGACGACCCCAAACTGGGTGATGGAACTACAGCTCCCGTAGTAGTTACTTCGCTACGTGGGTTCAAAGTGCCACCGTTCGACGGGACTTCTTCCTGGTCAGCCTACAAAATCCAGTTCGAGGCTGTTATGAAGGCAAACGGCTGGAATAAAAGTCAGGCTATGACTGCTCTCACACTAGGCCTGCGCGACCAGGCCTTAACTGTTCTGGAAGCTCTCGGTGAGGAAGTGACTTATGAGCAACTCCTTGAGGCATTGGAGGCGAGATATGGCGACGCTCACCTGGAACACGTCTTTCGTGCGCAGCTTAAAGATCGCGCGCAGCGCATCAACGAAAACCTGCAGCAGTGGGCTCTAGAGGTGGAGAAGCTGGTGCGAAAAGCATACCGGTCTGTACCGGCGTTCATTGAAGGGAACCTGGTGCAGACATTCATCGACGGCATCCGCGACCTGGAAGTCAGAGCTGCTGTGAGGCTCGGGCACCACGAGACGCTTAAGGACACCTTGGTCCATGCACTGGAGGTGGAAGCCGTGCGGCAGGATCTTCGCTCCCATCGCGTCAGGGAGGTTGCAACAGCTACAGTTCGCGACCGCAACAAAGGATACAGCCCTAGGTGCTACGGCTGTGGGGAAAAGGGCCACCTTCGATCCAGCTGCCCTAAGCGAACCGTGGAAAGGAGAGTTGATCGATCTCGAGAGGGTAGTGCAGCTAACGGCACTGCCTGGCGGCGACAGGATCATCGTTCACCTCACGCTAGGGAGGTTACAGCAGTTACGGTTCGCGACCACAATAAAGGATACAGCCCTAGGTGCTACGGCTGTGGGGAAAGGGGCCATCTTCGGTCCAGCTGCCCTAAGCACACCCTAGGAAGGGAAGGTGAACGGTCTCAGAAAGGAAGTGCGGCTAACAGCACCGCCCAGCAGCTGCAGGAATACGACTTTAAGATCGAACATCGCAGCGGAAAATCTCACGGCAACGCGGATGCATTGTCAAGAAGACCTTGTCCTGAAGATTGCAACCATTGTACTAGGCAAGAGAGTAAGGAGGAGGTATCCGTGAGGATGCTCAGGACGGACCACCTCAGCAACGAATGGAAGGACAGCTTACAACATGCACAGCAGGAAGATCCGGACATCAAGCCGATTCTGGAATGGATAAAGGCCAGTGATCCCAAGCCTAAGTCGAGCGACGTCTCAGCAATGAGTTCGACCACTAAAAGCTATTGGACCCAGTGGGACAGCTTGCTGCTTCAGGATGGAGTTCTGTGCCGTAAATGGGAAAATGTTAGGGGAGACAGCTGTCATTTGCAAATGGTTGTCCCTAAAGCTAAAGTACCGGATGTTCTACAGCTGTACCATAATGATTGTTCTGGAGGCCATCTGGGAGTCAAACGAACTCTACTGAAGATCCGAAAACGGTTTTATTGGGTCCACTGTCGAAACGATGTCGAGGACTGGTGTCGCAAATGTACAAGTTGTGCGGCTGTAAAGGGACCTCAGACTCGTAGTAGAGGTGCATTGAAGTTGTACAATGTTGGTGCACCATGGGAGAGAATAGCCATTGACGTGGCGGGGCCGTTTCCGGAGAGTGAAAGCGGTAACAAGTATTTCATGGTTGTGATGGATTACTTCACAAAGTGGCCAGAAGTTTTCGCCATTCCAAATCAAGAAGCTTCAACAGTTACAGATAAACTAGTTCATGAAGTCTTCTGTCGTTTTGGAGTACCTTTAGAGATTCACAGCGATCAAGGAAGGAATTTTGAGTCTCAAATATTCCAGGAAACTTGCCGAGTTATGGGTACTCATAAAACAAGAACGACTTCTTATCACCCGCAATCTGATGGAATGGTGGAACGATTTAATCAGACATTGGAGAGGTACCTAGCAAAAGTTGTAGACAATCGGCAACGAGATTGGGACAAGCACATACAACCGTTTTTGTTGTCATATCGAAGTTCTGTTCACGAAAGTACAGCAGTGACACCAGCTTTCGCAAACTTTGGAAGAGAATTACGGCTGCCTGCAGACCTGATCACCGGGACACCTGACGCCCCACGCAGTATAACCGATTATGCAAATGACTTGCGGAACAAAATGAATGACATTTATGAGCACGTCAGACAATCGGGCCAGCAAATGTCTGAGAAAATGAAAACCCGGTACGACCAAAATGAACAATAAAGGGTTCAACGATGGTTCATTAGTGTGGTTGCACAATCCAGTCCGCAGCAAAGGGAAATCTCCTAAGCTTCAAGCTAAATGGGACGGCCCGTATCGGATTGTAACCAGGATCAACGATGTGACCTACCGGATACAGAAAGGCGCAAGAGGGACTCCTAAGATCGTCCATGTGGATCGCTTGGCGCGTTATTATGAGACCGATAATGCTCGGGACGAGCATGTCTTAGGAGGGGGCAGTGTTGCGTGAATAAGTCAACGTCATACACTAGCGCCATCTAGTGTCAGGAACGAGAGTGAGGTGAGCTTTGCAGAAAATGACATCACAAATCTTTCAACCGACAGCGCCATCCGAAGAACTAAGTTTCTAGAAAATCTACACTCGAACACTCGTCGCTTTGCGCGCATTTACTTGAATATTCCGGATGCTTCATTGCTAATTTGTATATATAGGCGCTGCAAGATGCGATCGGGGCAGTATTGGATTTGGCGAGACAAGCGAAGCTTCGGAGCGAAATAAAGTGAATTAGTGTGTTTAATTATTAGTGTTTTAAGTTTTAATTTGTGTAAAGTAAATTAAAGTGTTAATTTAGGTAATTTTATCGGCAATTTTTATTGTCATGAACCTCAAGCTCGTAACAATACTATATAATTTAAAAATTGGCGTATTAAAGAAAGTACCACACGTGCGATTCATGATCATTCCCTATGTTATGCTTAATTTCTTCCACAGTTACAAATGTGGATGCAGTTAAATTTTTGTTTAACAAAAATAGTTGTACTAATGAGTACATAATAGATAATAATCCCAGGGAATGAGGTGATTGCTACCATGCTGTTTCTAAATGTCTATTGTTCTAAATTCTAAATGTCTTCATAATAATCATTTAAAATAATATAATACAGGGTGGGCCAGAAAGAATTGCGAATTTGAAAAAATCATAAAACTAAGTACAATTCACATACAAATTT